CGGGGGCCTACTATTGATACCTAATTTTGGCCTTGCCTATTAAAATATTACACGTGGATATGTATTATATCAATTATTTTAATTTTGGGCCCAAAAATAATACCGCTTGTGATAATATCGGGCCCATTAAACATATATATAAATACCCCGATGATGGACATCATCGAGAGGTCTGAAGGGGCGCCTGTATTATTTTGGATCTACTTTTCTCTCTCCTGCACCGCTTCAGGGACGAGAGTTTTATCTTCATCTTCTTCAATATTTTCTTGCTTCAAATACACAAGAACACACAAAAAATTCATGGAAAAATCACAAATAATATACATCGAAAAATATCCGATAAATTCCTCTGAACCCCCCATGTTGATCAAATTTCGTGCATCAACAACTTTTTTCCACAATCCTTCTTTTTTTTTCCTCATATTTTAAAAAAAAACAAATTATTTTTAGTTTTACAATAAAAATTAAGTCACCTATTAATATTAATTTGAAAAAATAAAATTACTTAAATTAGTCTAATTACAAAGTTTTTAAATGATATAAGTTAAAAAATTATTATAATATAAGATACTAAGTAATTAGTGTCATTTTAAATATAAATAGTAATATGATTTTTATAAAAATAATTTTAAAATTAAAACAATTCTTTTTTATTTAAATTTTTAACTATAAACTTTTTAACAAGCATCCATATAATAGAAGAGTGTTGTATTAGTTATATAATTATTTTTATCATTCAAAATTATTTGAGATTTAAATTTTATTTTAACAACGTTAAAATAAAATAATTATTTAAATTATTACTTTTTCTTAAGTTATTTTTATCATTCAAAATTATTTGAGATGTAAATTATTTAAATCTTGCAACGTTTACATTAGTAACATGAATAAAATAATTTATATATTTGTGGCATATTTTAAGAAAATTAACATAAATAAAAAATTATTGGTGTTTCTGATTTTTATAAAAAAAAAATGTGTCAATCATATTTTTCTTCCAACAATGCAACCAAATATAGCGGTTACAGCTCTGAATGTGTCAATTGACTTTAAGTTCCAACATTAGCACACATTTGAATATTTTGGTACCAAATTTAGAATTAATTTAGTAATTGATCCAAAAATATAAATAAGAAAAATATATATATATATTAAGTTGTAACGGTTTTAGCAGATTAGTAAGTAATTAATTTAAAAAAAAATGTAACTCCTTTTGAAGGGAAATAAAAATAGCTTTTATTAAATGTTTTATTAAATGCATCAGACAGTAATTATATATATATATATATATATATATATGAAGGCACATTAAATGTTATTCTAATCTAAAGCTTTTCTCAAAAAATTATTTTTTTCACCTCATTAAGCAAGTTTTTTTTTATTAAAATTAGTTAACTATTTTTTATGGCATAACCAAACCATTTGAAGATTTGTACACAATTGCTATAATAATAATTTCAATATTTTTTTTATACAATATATCTATATTTATATAAAGAGGAGTAACAAAGCAATTAATTTTATTATCATGCATTAAATTTTATTCTTCCTCCAAAATTTTCAACATTCATTTTCATTTTTAGGTTACAAAATAACTTGCTTGAATGGCATAAATTATGAGCATAAACCAATCAAGGGAGTTACAAAACTGTACTCAAATTTTAAGTCACCCACTCATGAAAATGTCCGGGTGTATTAGCATAAAGAAAATGGTTGTAAAGGCTCTTCCATAGCAATTACTTGATCAAAATTAATTTTGAGAATTATTTTCTTAATTCATATTTTTTTTCATAAATTAAATTATGATTTATTTATTTTTTTTATATTGTTATTTTTTTAAAGTATTCTTCTATGTGCAAATGCACAGGTTGATAACTAGTATATATAATTATTGACTGATTCATTTAATAAAAAATTTAATAAAACCTATTTTCATTTTCCTTTAAAAGGAGTTACATTTTTTTTAAGTAATTACTCACTAATATGCTAAAATCGTTACACCTTAATATATATTATTATATATATCATTTAATAATAATATTATTATTATCATTCAGATGCATTTAATAATATATTATTTAATAATAATAATATTATTATTATTATATTAATCCACACTATCATATCATTTATTTCCCTCCAAAAGGAGTTACATTTTAATAAAATTTATTTTCATTTTTTAATAAAATATTTAATAAAACCCATTTTCATTTCCCTCCAAAATGAGCTACATTTTTTTAATTAATTACTCACTAATATGCTAAAACCATTACACCTTAATATATATATTTTTATTATTTATTTTGTAGATCAGTTACTAAATTAATTCAAATTTGGTAACAAAATATTCAGATGTGTAACGGCTAATGCTGGAACTTCAAATTGATTGGCACAATCAAAGCTGTAACTGTTATATTTGGTTGCATTGTTGGAAGAAAAATATGATTGGCACAATTTTTTTTTTCCAAAAATCAGAAACACCAATAATTTTTTTATTTATGTTAATTTTCTTAATATATGCCACAAATATATAAATTATTTTATTCATGTTACTAATGTAAACGTTGCATGGTTTAAATAAAATTTAATCTCAATTAATTTTGAATGATAAAAATAACTTAAATCTCATTTAATAAAAATATGTGACTTTCAGTTACACAATTTATTTTGGCAAGTCCCATTTGGAATGTGCTTATTTCTGTAACGCTTTTTTATGTTTTAAAATACACAATATTTTTATTTTTATTTTGATACTCTATATTTTTTAGTATTATAATATAAACACATATTTCACAACTATTAAGATTGACTACAGATATCTCTATTTTCTATTGCAGTCATACAATAATAATTTTTTTTTTTCAGATATTACAAAAATACATCAAATATTTTAAAAAATCGAATCTCAGAATCACGAGTCGAAGAAGTTTAACGATGATAGAAAAACCACGAATGTTGTATATAAAGACGTGCTTAATAATATTTAGATTCACTTTTTAAATTATTTTTTTTCTCATTTATTAAGTTATGGTTTTTATTTTATTCTATATTTTTATATACTTTCTCTTCTATCATATCGTTTTTCGTGCAAATGCACGAGGTATAACTAGTATATATAATTGCTGGCTCATGAGCATTTAATAAAACATATTAAATTATACTTATGTGGCAATATAACTTTTTTTCCCTCAAAAAACCATTACATTTTATTTATTAGATAATCAACACACTAATCACTTCAAAATTACAAAAATTATTTTAAACTTTTGATTTACTTAGAGCTGACCACCATATAATGTGTTGACTATTTAACGTGATTAGATGTCATTGTTGTGGTTACATTTAAATTGACTTCTTTTGAAAAATAAAAAAGGTATTTGAAATTCATAAATAAATAATAAATAATTCACAAAAACATACATACCAAAATATACATTACATCCAATATGATAAACTAAATTTATAAAAATAAATATTCTAGCTCCTTTAATTGTAAATTTGGCCGACAAAAAAGTGCAAGAAAAATCATTAATCATTATATGAATACAAATAACTCACAATATTTTATTTATATTTGTGCATTTGCATAGGTCGAATACTAGTTAATTGTCATAATCAACCAAGATTACATAAATTTAAAGATTAATAGGTAAGTTAAATAGTTTATATTTATATCGTCATTTTAGTAATGATAAAATTTATAAATGTGATATACTCATTATCTAATTTGTAATTTTTAAATTTTACTTAAAACACACGTATATATATAAACATATAAAATTTTATGAATTTGTACATTTGCACATTATAGAATATTAATTAATATATATAAACACGCCTTGTACTCAGTCTGTCATTCTGTCGCACACTCAGCACCTCTCTCTCTCTCTCTCTCTCTCTCTCTCTCGGATTCTTCTTCCCTCTTCTAAAAGTTAAAGTACGAAAAGCTCTGAAAACAAAGCTAATCAGTGGAGGGTCTCAATTTATGCTCTCTTTTCCGTGGTAACCGCCCTCTCTCTCTCTACAATTTGAAGACTACTCTGTAAACTGGCAAATCGGAATTATATCTGTACCACCTCGATCGTTCTGTACAATTATACGAAAATTGAGGTGTTTCTTTCCTTAACCGATTCTATTTGCATGGCGTGAATTTCGAATTAGGGGTTGTGAATATGATCGCGATGCTTTCTCAAGATTTGACACCTTGCCTTTGTAAATCCATTAATTTTGGTGCGAATTGCAAATCCATTAATTTTGGTGCGAATTGGCTTTATTTCGCAGGCTAGGTGAAATTTTTGTGGTATCTGGAGATTCTTTTAATTTAATTGCCGATCTCTATTGTTAGAGATCATATTAGTTTTTTTGACCCATTATTGTTTTGTTTATTTATTTTATTTTATTTTGGTTAAATTCGTCATGGTTTGGTTGACACGTTAGGGCTCCGATTATAACAATTCTAGATATAATTCACTGGCAAGTCACTGTTCATCTACCATCCTGTGTTCTGATTATTGTATCGTTTCTTGATTGAGAATCTGAGATAAATGCCTTTTGGGTTTGTTTTTTCAATTTTACTTTTCATCTGCATATGCAACTCAACTTTTCTTTGAGCTGTTCACTTAGCTCCCTTATTTGTACACTTTGGGGTCTGCGTTAGAAATTTGTTCGAGTTACTGTGAACAAATTGATCGTGTACAGAATATTAGGCTTAGTTCCCCTGTTGTTTCATTCTGGCAGTGTTTGATTCTTCGATTTATTAAACAATGAAGGCAAATAAGATCTTTTGTTTATATATATTTGGTGATTCTGTTTTTTCTACTCAGATCAACCTTGTTACTTAAATTACATGTGAACTCTTGTTATGAACTATTTATTCATTCATCCCTAATGAAAGCTAATCAAATTCCTGCTGACTGTTTGAAACTGCTTGAGATCATAATTTCAAACTGAAATTTCGTTGCCCCCACTTTTGATGCAGACTTTTGAGCACTATCCGTAAAATGGTGTTGCGTGCCTGCAAAAGACGTACCAAAAATTTCACACTTACTGAAGAAAGAGATTATAGCACGATTGGCCTGTACCAATGTGCAACGAGTGAAGCATCAACCAGCACATCGTTTGGCCCACCATTTTTCACTCTGCTCGAGCTGCCTGTTCCCTTATTACACGATATCCTCTCAAGGCTCCCATTGCTGGACATACTCAAGTGCAGATGCATCTGCAAGACATTCATTAAACTCCTCAAGGATCCTTATTTCTCCAGAATACATCTCTCGAATGCACCCACCTTGAGAACCAACCTCATACTTCAGAAAAACATCGGGACCCGAAGAATCTTCGAGACTTTCACGTTTGACCTCAACGAGTCCACTGTATCCTCGTGCAGAAGTAGTTTCGATTGCGAAAAAAATCTAAACAACACACGTCCCTCTATCAGAAACGGGCTGCCGGAGCTAAGCAAAGTGAACTCCGAGTTCAGTTTCCGCGCAAACGGGCTTACTCTCATCGGGTCGTGTAACGGGCTTCTGTGTTTCTACTGCGCTCGGCCACTGAGGCCCTTTTACATGATATGCAATCCTATACTCGGCGAGCGACTGAAGCTTCCTCAGCTAGCCAATCCGAGCGCGCTTTACACCTACGAGAACTCGTCATCATTTTTCGGTTACTGTGCAAGCACGAAAAGGTACAAGGTTGTTAGTTTCATGTGGCTGATTTTCACTGACAACTTACACTTTGAGTACTCGAAAGAAATGGTTGCCTATGTGCACACGCTCGGCTGGGGTTCATGGAGAAGGGTCGACAACCCTACTTGTCCAAGAAAGAACTCACTTGATCCCTTGCTGACCGACACTCTTCATTGGATAAATGATACTGAAAAGCCATCCGAGATCATAGGCTCGTTCGACTTGGAAAGGGAAAAATTCGGGTTCATTTCGCCACCTGTCCATTTCAATTCACAGTACGTGAGCAAGTTGCCTTGGCTAAATGTGAGTGTCCTCAGAGGCTGCCTATGCATTTTCTACATGTACGAAGATTCCCTGTTTGATGTGTGGGTGATGGGAGAGTATGGAGTTAGGGAGTCGTGGACCAAAGAGTTCAGCATCGACATGAAATTCTACTGCAGGTTGAGGGTCGAGGATCTGTACAGGCCCGTGAAGCTTTTCGGGAATGGGGATTTGTGGTTTATATCTAGTTTGAATTCTTTGGTGTGTTTCTGTCCTCGGAAAAGGACTTTCAAGGAACTGAGGTCGATCAAGCCTTGGAAATTCGAGTTAACAGCGCACGATTTGAGTTTTGTGTCACTCAAGGATGTCGTGGGAAAGAAATATCGGGAGGTGCAGAATTTCAGGATACGAAGGCGGGAATTGATGTTTGATTTGTAGCATTCTTTGCAAAAATCGATCCTTTATGTTGTTGGTTTGAACTTGCTCAATGTTAAAACCTCTGATTAGTTTGGTGAAAGTCTTTTGCATAAAAGTGACCGGGTGAATAATTGTATGACGGCAGGTCTTTGTACTATAATAGTCCTTATTTTATTGTACGGACTGGGTCTCGGTTTACATTTGCAGGTTTCTGGTATTGTAGTAGAAAAGCTTACCTAAAGTTTCAACTTTCAATAGTTGTCTCGTTATCTCATATGCTGTATAGTATAGAATTTTTTAAGCTTTAAAGGACTGCGCGTGCACGTGTTTTTACATGAAAGCTGAAATAACAATGTGGCATGAGGTACTATCAAACTGGATAGCAACCTAAAAAATTAATAATTTTATGAAATAAAATAATAATCTGATTGAGACAAAACAATAAAAAATGATAATATGGAAAACATGACAATTAGAATAAAGTACGAACATTCCATAATCCCATCTGAAAATAAGAGTTTTAACACCTTCCACAAACAAATCTAGAGTACTACTACATTCATGATCAACATCTAAGCAACAAGTTTACACAAGTTCAACGGATTAGTTCTAAAAACTTAATCGAAACCAGTTCTAAACCCTTGATCGACCTTCTTTCCGACTTCCTAATATCAATATGGCCTGATTAAACCCTGGCCCTCTTGCTACTGCAGGTAGGGCATTTGTATTGCTTGATATGTTCGGCTTTTGCTGGCGTTATCTTCACGCATTTCCCATGGAACCATCTCTCACAAATATCACAGCAAATCCAGAATTCATCATTGGCGTAATTGTCCCCACAAGCCCCACATGTGGCCCCCTGCTCGTCGTCCTCTTCTTCCTCCTCACCCCCCGACTCATCCTCATCCTTTGGTGCTGCCATCTTAATTGCTTTGGGTTGGGACTCAGGCTGACGAGAAGGCTGTGAGAAAGAGAGAGAGAGAGAGAGAGATTATTATAGAAAAATCAAGCACAAGAGAATGCGGGTAATTGAAACTGAATCGGAGGTCGTCTAAACTAGAAAATTACCACTGTTACTAGATTTTTGTGTGTGTGTGTGAGAGAGAGAAAGAGAGAGGGAGAGGGAGAGAGAGAAAGAGAGAGATTATTATAGAAAAATGAAGCACAAGAGAACGCGGATAATTAAAACTTAAATGGGAGGTCATCTAAACAAGAAAATTACCATTCTGTTGCTAGATTTGTTCCTGCTACCGTTTTGGTCCTTCGTCTGCTTAACAGGCCCTGTAACAACTTCGAACACGGTGGGAAGGTCATTAATCAGCTGGAAAAGACGTTTCCTGTAAGAAAAGGAATTCCCGACCAACAATTTGAATTAAAAGAAAATGATTTTAAATAGTTTGAAGGCTCAGGCAATAGTATAGCACACTTAGAGAGAAAAGGAATCAGCATAAGAAAAATAATATGCTGAGTAGCTCGAACAGAAAACATCAAACGATGAAAAATGGAACAGAATGCTCGAGAAAGAGTAAAATATTGAATTCAACCATAGCTAATTCAGTGTCTATTGGGAAACAATAAACTCCGTCAGCAATCATGGGAAAAGCAAATGTATGACATGTAATTTGCCAAAATCCTCAATGAACAAAGAACAATTGTGCTACCCGCAATAGAAAACTATGCAGATATAAGCATTGTTATTCTCCTTCGATCATATCATCGTATAAAACTATAACTGTTACAATTTCAAGTAGCAGGAAATCCAAAACAAGATAAATTTATTTTTGACACATTTATAACCCAAATGATCATTAATCTTACCAGACAACATCCAGTAGAAAACATTTACCTTTCACTTTTACCAAATCCAAACCGTGCACCAAAGTAGAACGCAACTGAGAGCAGCCATGAGTCACTATGAACTGCAACAAGTGATAACCAGTCCTTCTCTTGCATCCCATCACGGGCAAAGTTTATCCCAAGAGCAGGCTCGGGCAGTTCAGGGGGCACCTCCTCAACAGGCAGGTTGACTTCCCAAGTCTCGTTTGGAAGCCCATATAAACAGAGGTTCTCTTTATCTACAAGGCAGCAACAAATGCAGAAACAATAATCAGATCTGTATATTTAACCTAACATTTGATCAGACATGAACAACATACTGAACTTGAATTTACAGATCAGCCAATAGTTCCATGTACCACAGACAGTCACTATCAAAGATGAAGTCTAGCCATATCCATGAACCATCTAAATAAACTTAATTTCTAGCACAGCAGTAGGCTATAATCAGCATGCCAATCCTCAAGATCTCAGAGAAAATTTTGCTAATAAAATAAACAAGTTAGCATGAATGTATATAGGCAAACCGGACATATATTTGCATATAGCCAAGTAACAGAAAGAAAATTAGACCAGGACACCACCATAGGATTAGCTTAACATACCAACTACCAACAATATTCACTAACCACCGTAAGGTGAAAGATGTCTCCAGCATATGATTAATTGCCACTCCACTACTCATCAACACTACGTTTATCCTAGTTTTGGATTAACACAATATCAACAATCGTTGGTAAATCAATGTTCTGACACAAATTATAGGGTAGAAAGAAAAACATATAGGGATACATTACAAATTTTTCATGGATCACGGCAGTTATCAATTGCTTAGTTCATCCAACATTCGATAGAATGGCACTTTCAAATATTCTTCTGCCACACAACCGTAATAGAAAATGATATATTCCTGATGTCAACAATGATGCAAGCTAATATTCATAACTCCGAGTGTCAGAGACACCAAGATATTCCAGAAAATTGGACCCGACTCTCATAAAGGCCAGTTTGAGTTATCCAAATAACATGGTACATGCTGTGGCACAATCAGGAATTATCAAGTGGCTTATCTTTCTTGCCGAAAAAGAAAAAGAAAGAAAAAAAGAACTTAAACTCTAGTTCAGTCACACCAACACATTGCCACAGACATTGCCACAGACCAGCGTAATTCATACCTCAACTAAATACCCAACACATAGTACCTTTAATGTTCAAACATGGTTGAGGAACTAAATAGAATTTTTCAACCCATTTAAAGAGTTTAGTACTGATAAATCGCTTTATGCACATTGCGCCGTCAGCAAGACACTACTCCCTCATAATCACAAAGAACAATTTCAAAGAGTATCTTTTAGTTTAGCTAATTACATCTGGAGCCAATCAACTTCCAGAAGTACAGATAGACTTTAGACATGTGTTACAATCTTAAATATCGCACTGGTTGAGAAAGGTTTTTGGGAGGATACTTATCATGACAAAAATACAAAACTCAAGAGTAACTTTGAGAAACTAATTATGGCATTTTCAATTTTCAATGATTACTGGATTTTTCTTTGTATTTAGGCTAAATCTTAAGAATAATTTCTATAAGCATGACTAGGAAGTACTTCAAATTTTACTTCAGATAGAAAGAAATCTGAATTAACTGTGGAGCAATGCAATAAAAAACCAAAACAATCCACTTGCTCCGATAAGTAATTATATCAAGAATATATCTCCCTCCTTGAAAAAAAGTGAGCAGATTCCAACACATTCAAGAAAAGAATTTATTGAGAGCATCATGAAAAGCCAACTGAAACAAGCTAACTTCCAAGAAGCAGAATACTGACAGGTGTGGTAGTACATAACATAGATAAAGGTTGTATGCACCTACCCACGGACGAAGAATCGAAATACGAAACCGTGCCAAAGACATAAAAAGTACTACACAAATTTGTAGTGTAGTTGAAGAAAGCACAAATGTACCAATTACTAATTCCATAAATCCTACATTAGAAAGTGCTTTCATATATAACAAGATCACGCATCAGCCAAAATACAGCCACATAGAACCAGACACTAACGCGGATGTGAAATCAGCCTCGACGTCAACCCTCATAATAAAGATACACCACATATACAGATAAGACAAGTAATAATAATTAAAAAATAAATAAATGAAGTAAAATAAAAACTCACCTGGATCACACTGCTGGTAAAATTTCTCAACATCTGCCAAGACCAACACAATATAAAGTCAGAATACATTTGACTTCGAATTCCACTAAGCAATCCATGTTGTCCAACAACTATTAAATCCCACCAAACATCCCAAGTTATTTGCAACATAATTTCTCATACGCGCGGCGCAGGCGAATGCACAAATAAGAGTAACATAAAAATCCATGAAGAGAGGCGCAAATTTTACAGCAAATTTATAAAAACGCTTTCATTCCCCATTCCATTTTTCTTTTTTTTTTTTTCGGTGAGAAATGGTGAATGAAACGAGAACGGGAAAAAACAATACCAGAAGTAAGAGCTTTGATGAGACCAGCTCGACGGCCTTTGAAATCGCTGAAGACTTCCTCCACAGTTCTCGGTACGGGATGTGGAGTTCCATCCATCTTTTCCAATCTTTCCAAAAACTTTTCTGTAAAAGAAACGCACGAAAGTTGCCAAATAATTCAGCGGTTATCGACCGAATTAGGATTTTATTCCAGATCTAGGGTTTCTCCGTAATTTTCCGAACAATCTTGAAGATTATCATGCATAGCAGCGAACTCGAAGTATGGATTGAAAGGTGTTTGTAGTTCTGAATATGCAAGAGTGTTGAGAAATAAAAGAAAAACAAAAAAAAACAAAGAAAATCTGAGGAGAGAGCTAAAATGGAGTAGACAGAGATGATCAAAATGGGAAATGACTGATGAGGGTTTTAGTACTAATAGTATTTCCTTTTCTGGCTAGTTTTTTTATATATTATAATCTAATTTTGACATTGTCTTTTATTTAAAAAAGTTTCCATGCTAGTTGAAGTATTCAAGTATTTGATTCACGTGTGTACAAAGATTTCAGTGAAAAAAAAGTGTGTACAAAGATTTGAGTAATAGTATTCGATTCATGTTGAATTTAACATGTGATTCGTTTAAAATAAGTGAATATAATTAATTTTATTCAAAATTTATTTTTATATAAAAATATATTAAATGAATATTACAGTTTTAATGTAAATATATGTTTTATAAAATAATATATTTTCTAAATATATGTATTTAAAATTTTTATATATATATTATATGAATAAAATTTATATTTTGTATGATATGTTAAGTTTAACTATAAATATGTGCATAATATATTTCTAAAATATAAATAACGAATCGAATATTTGATAATCTCGAATGAATTACATGCATATTCGGGTTTAGATTCATGTAAATTTTGAATACAATTTGAATACAAAGTATTCTCCTTATTCGAATATATATATATATATATATATATATATATAATTACTAGCTGATGCATTTAATAAAACATATTTTTATTCCCCTCTCTAAAAGGAGTTATATTTTTTTTAATTAATTACTCATTAATCTGCTAAAACCGTTACACCTTAATATATATATTTTTATTATTTATTTTTTAGATCAGTTACTAAATTAATTCTAAATTTGGTAGCAAAATATTCAAATGTGTAACGGCTAATGTTAGAATTTAAAGTTGATTGGCACATTCTTAGCTGTAACCGCTATATTTGGTTGCATTGTTGGAAGAAAAATATGATTGACACATATTTATTTTTTTCTAAAAATCAGAAACACCAATAATTTTTTTTATTTATATTAATTTTCTTAGTATATGCCACAAATATATAAATTATTTTATTCATGTTACTAATGTAAACGTTGCATGGTTAAACTAAAATTTAAATCTCAATTAATTTTGAATGATAAAAATAATTTAAGAAAAAGTAATATTTTTTATATGATAGAAGTACATGTCTAATTAATAAATACAAACAAAAACGTGTTTTATATCTGTGCAAATGCACCAGATCAAAATACTAGTTTGAATTTATTACAACTATGCTCTAAGGTATTTAATAATATTTTAAAATGTGTTTATTTAATAAAAATTAATATTATACAACTATGCAATCTTTTGCAAAACACAAGTAAGTGAATTGCTTGCATTTGAAATTATATATTGAAATTTTTTAATGTCAATCTATTGGGTTTATTTATTTTAACTAGAAATTAAAATTAAATACCTTATTTTTTTATTTATTTTAACTACCTACAAAATAAAACCATCTCAACTTATAATAAATCCACACACCAAAGTACAAATCATAATATTATTATATTTTAAAGAAAATATGAGAACAAAATAATGTAATTAGTATTTAAAAAAAAGAAAAAGCTGAAAAATTGTCTCCGAGCCCGCCTAGGAGCACCTAGGTCCGCCTCTACTCGCCTAGGCGTCTAACTGCCTGGCCACCAAGCCCGTCAAGTCCGCCTAAGGCCGCCTAGCTACCTGGTCGACTTTTGCAAATCGAAGGCGGCCAGGCACCGCTTAGGCCGATTTTTAGAACAATGTTTTTTTATATATGTGCAAATGCACAAGGTCAAATACTAGTAAAAGCACCCCCCTTCCCTTCCCGCTAGCCCACCCAACCCCTCCTCCCTTGCCCTGGACCTGACTCCCATGGAATCGACACCTCCGCTTGGCTAGGCTCCACCCAAACCCTCCTTAATAGGCTCGGTTCCATCCTCGGTCCAAATTCTAAGCCCCTTCACTTTCCTTGAAGCGGAACCACGCAATGTGCCTGACTCTTTGGAGCCAGGTTCAGCTAAGGCCAACTCAATGATCCTTGTGTTTTGCTCTGATTATGAACCGGACTCCTCAAACCACTATCTTTTTTTTTATGAATTTGAAGACGACTTCATTGTCGCCCCAAACTCCTGTTAAAAATCAATCATCGCTCTTTGCTCCTCCTCTGTCACACCCCCTTGCTCCCAGACTTACACCAACTATTTCGGAAAAAAACAACGGATTAGGCGCAACACGAGGAATAGGAAAAAACCGGACAAGATGGACTTGTAGTACTATGGACTTGTAGGGAATTTGACCCTCCCCATTTATGTTCTCCGGCTCTGTAGGGGAATAAGCCCTCCCAAATCTCGGTTCGTTTATAATAAAATATAATACCCGTGTTCTATATGGGTACTTGTTTTTATAAAAAAAATACTAGTAAAAGCATACCACTTAAGGGAAAATAAATATTTGGCCATTTGGCGGCAGCCAAAAAAGTTGAAAAATCCCCTCTGAAAAAATAGCGCCACATTTTCTCAAACCCGCCAGTTAGATGCCATAAAAGCTCAACTCATCGAACAATTTGATTACACTGCCATTTTACACACAGGGCAGGCTAGGGTTAGGACGCGTTGCTTGAGAAAAACATCAAAATGGTGGTGGCTGCTCATTTGGAATCAATGGCTTCGGAGGATGGTAAATTCTTCTTTTCCTCAATTTTCTTTTCTATTGCTCGCCCTTTTGATATCATCGGCACGTTGCCCATGCAAATGCAAACCGATATACTTTGTTTGATTTACAAATGATGGTGCTTTGTTTGATTTACAAATGCTGGTATGTTAATTTTAGGCATTCATAGTTGGGGCTTCACTTGGTTGATCATTTTGTTCTTTATGGACATTGAAAAATGGAAGTGCCGGGTTTATGTGTAAAAGCAGAACCTTGATTCTAATAATCAGCCTGGATTGTTATCTAGATCTTCCGTTTATTAGACGGCCAGATCCCACTAGAAAATTAGAATTTTATGGGGTTTGGTGCGTGGATTGTATCAACTTATTTGGAATTGATTGGTTGATTGAATAGTTGAAGTGTTATCCGGAGTTGCTCTGCTGTTGTTAATCTCAAGGTTTAGGATGCCTATTTGTGAATTAAATTATTGGCGGTTTCAAATCTGTTCTTGAATTAGTTGATTATCTGTTGTTTAATTTATTACTTTTTAATCAGTGATTTATAACTGTCGATATTTTCCGTACATAGGTCTAAATGAAAAGTTATTAAAATCAAACAAACAAAAAAACCAAAATAAAAATGTAAAGTTTTATGTGTTCAATTATCAATACATAGGTTTTTGAAATTATTAGTGTTTTTGTATGCTCATGCATTATATAGAAAGGGAGTCTCTAGAAGTAATTTTTAGGCCATTCATAGAAAGATATGGATCTGTACTTTGCATGCATATAATTGTATGTACTTGCTAGCAGAAGCTGGATTCATGGAATGTTTGTTGAGCTGGACGTTTTGAAGCTCTCAACTCTTTTGAAGTTTTGTTTATTTTGTTTGTGTCTGTTACAGACCGTTGTATTCTTTGGAGTTTGGAATGTTCTATTTTATCACTTGTCTGTGGGCCATATTTCTTCGTATGCATCAAAACAACTCTAGCCCCTTGGCTACCTGCTCGACGCTATATGCATCAATACTTGAAGCATTAAATACATAAAAGCAAAGTATGTGCATACTAACTACTGGTCACTTCTGGCATGCAAATCTTGTAACCGAAACGGTGACATTTACATTACCCAAATGGAACTGGATGTCGTATATGGTTTTCAATTGAAACTTTATAAAGTCATAAACAAAATTGCCACAACTACAGTACATTTGATTAGAAGATCTATACTTTGCTAGTAATAAAAAAGAACTATTTCATTTATGGGACGAGCATCTGAGCTTGCATATTTTCTACATTTGAGCATTAGAGGTGTAAATGTATAGTTGATGTGATCCGATCATTCATAAAATATATTTGAATAGGCTTAGAATGGTCCGAAGCAATAAGCTTCATGCACGTGTCCACATATTTCGAGCTTGTCCAGACATTTATAGAATATAATTTCACATCCTCTACATATTGTACTCCTATAGTTATTACTAGTCATAAGTGCTTTATTGTGGATGCCATTAATCTTTTCCAAATAATACCTTTCTCTAACACTAATTATTTGCCGATTCTCAGTTTCCATCATATGTATGTTTTGTAGTCTTATAACCTCCTTTTTGACTAGCCGTTGCTTGTTTCCTTCAGATGACAATGTAACATATCATGTTCGTTTTTGACATTCCCCTATTATATTTTTAAAGGGATTGCTATCCAAAAGTCACTGAATTGCTTTGTTTGTTCTTTTGTTCATTTATATGCTGGATATCAAAATATCCTTCACTCAATCTGACATGTTGCATTTGTTATAGGGATGAAAACTAGCAAAAACAAAATAGCTCCTGCATCTAAGAAAAATATGGCAACTGACAAAAAAAGACAAAAGAGGGCTGCTTCTCCGACTGCTGAGAACCCTGCTGTTTCTCGTAAAATGCCCAAGCGTGCTGCGGCTTGTTCGGATTTCAAGGAGAAGTCTTGTCGTATATCTGGAAAAGATTCAGTTCTCGAAACAAAAAAAGATCGAGTCGTTGAAGAAGAACTCATTGCTGTTCGTCTGACTGCTGAACAAGAGGATGGCCGCCCATGCAGGCGGCTCACTGATTTCATCTTCTATAATTCAGAAGGAGTTGCGCAGCCTTTTGAAATGCTCGAAGCGGATGATATCTTTATCACTGGACTCATCTTACCGCTTGAGGAAAGTTCTGACAAGGAGAAAGCGAAAGGAATTAGATGTGAAGGATTTGGTCGAGTTGAGGAATGGGCCATATCTGGTTATGAAGAGGGAACCCCAGTGATATGGGTTTCAACAGAGTTGGCTGATTATGATTGCTTGAAACCCTCTGGAAGCTACAAGAAGTTCTATGACCATTTTTATGCAAAAGCCAGTGCCTGTGTTGAGGTTTATAAGATACTGTCCAAGCCATCTGGAGGTGACCTATGCCTTGATGAGCTGCTTGCTGTGCTTGTGCGTGCAATGAGCGGGATGAAGTGCTTCTCTAGTGGTCTATCTATCAGGGATTTTATTGTTTCCCAGGGTGATTTCATCTATAACCAGCTTATAGGTTTGGACGAGACCTCGAAGAATGATATGCAATTTGCTGAGCTGCCCGTTCTTGCCGCCCTTAGAGATGAAAGCAGCAAGTTGGATATTGATAAACCTCTGCCTGATCCTCTTTCAGGTAACCTGAGAATAGGTCCAAAATGTGGCGATGAAAATGTGACTTGTCCAGCAGAAGAAGATGAAGATTTGAAAATGGCGAGGGTGTTGCAGGAAGAAGAACGCTGGCGCTCGATGAAGCAGAAGAAAGGCCGTGGCTCAAACTCCTCGTCCAGCAAATACTACATTAAGATCAATGAGGATGAAATTGCCAATGACTATCCCCTACCTGCCTATTATACAACTTCAAATGAAGAAACTGATGAGTATATAATTTTTGATGGTGGCGTAGATGTGCTGAACATTGAGGACTTGCCCCGGAGCATGTTGCACGACTGGGCTTTGTACAATTCGGATTCTCGATTGGTCCCATTGGAGCTCCTTCCCCTGAAACCTTGTGATGAGATTGATGTGACCATATTTGGGTCGGGTGTAATGAGTGCTGATGATGGATCTGGATACATCTGTGATGGTGATTCTGCTTACTCTTCATATGGTTCTGATGCTACTGCTGTTGAAGGGATCCCAATTTTCTTGAGTGCAATCAAAGAATGGGTGATTGAATTCGGGTCTGCAATGATTTCGATTTCTATACGGACTGATATGGCCTGGTATGTTGCTTTTACCTCTTTATGTGTTTCCATGCGAAAAAAATTGATGCCCTCTATTCAAACTCATTTACTTCTTCTATTTATAAGTCATTATCATTTACTGAAAATTATCTGGAATCAAAGTTGGACTGAAGATGGTTTTGTGTTCTGGAATATAATTATGTGCGGGAAGCAGTTGTATAAAGCATATACTGTAATATTCTATGCCGGCAAAAAATTCGAATCATAATAGATTGTATGAGAGCTGTATCAATTTGTTGTTCTTAGCTAGTGAGTGCTATGTACTTTCAGTTTCACTTAGCCTGGAGATATATAAAGCTTTTTCCATTGATAAATAATGTTTTTTCCTTGCACTTTTCAGGTATAGGCTTGGAAAACCTTCAAAGCAATATGCTCCATGGTATGAGCAAGTCCTGAAAACAGCAAGGCTTGCAATAAGTATCATTACTTTGCTGAAAGAGCAGATCCGTGTGGCAAGACTCTCTTTCACGGATGTTATCAAGAGAATCTCTGATTTTAACAAAGACAATCCAGCTTTTATATCATCCAACTCAGTGCTAGTAGAAAGATATGTGGTTGTGCATGGCCAGATTATTCTGCAGCAATTCTCAGAGTATCCCGATAACAACATAAAAAAGTGCCCATTTGTGATTGGACTCACCCAGAAAATGGAAGAGAAACACCACACTAAATGGCTTGTCAAGAAAAAGAAGTTCCTGGAGAGGGATGAACAAAACTTGAATCCGAGGGCCACTATTGCGCCTGTTGTGTCCAAAAGGAAGGCCATGCAGGCAACTACGACGAGGCTAGTCAACAGAATATGGGGTGAGTATTATTCCAATTACTCGCCTGAGGAATCAAATGAAGGAACCCAATATGAAGTAAAAGAAATTGAAGATAACGAAGAGCAGGAGGGCAATGAGGAGGATGATACTCTTGAGGAGAAACTGTTAGAACAGGAGGAAACTCACACACCTAGTCCCATGCTAAGGCAGACAAAGTCCCGTTCAGGTTGCAAGGAAGTAAATTGGGATGGGAAATCTGAGGGAAAATTATCTACCGGTGAGTCTTTATATAGAAAGGCAATAGTCCATGGGGATGAAATTGCAGCTGGTGGGGCTGTTCTTGTGCAAGATGATGAATCAGATGAATTCCCGTCAATTTATTTTGTTGAATACATGTTTGAAAAATTGGATGGGAAGAAAATGTTACATGGGAGAATGATGCAACGAGGCTGCCAAACTGTGCTGGGAAATGCTGCAAATGAAAGGGAGGTATTTTTGACAAATGAATGTGAGGACTTCCTACTGGAAGAAGTCAGGCAGAATATACATGTTGAAATAAGATCAATTCCTTGGGGTCATCAGCACAGGAAAGCAAATGCAGATGCTGATAAAGTTGATCGAGCAAGAGCAGAAGAAAGGAAGAAGAAGGGGCTGCCTACTGAGTATTACTGCAAAAGCCTGTATTGGCCAGAGAGAGGTGCATTCTTTGCCCTTCCATATGGGTCGATGGGACTTGGATCCGGCTTGTGTGGGGCATGCCGAGCAAAGGAGGCTGATGATAACAAGGAAAAGTTTAAATTGGATACATCACTGACAAGTTTCCTATATGGAGGAATTAAATATTCTATTGATGACTATGTCTACGTGAGTCCTTACTACTTTTGTTCCGAAAGGGAAACTGAAATTTTCAAGTCAGGGAGGAATGTAGGACTAAAGGCATATGCTATATGCCAGCTGCTTGAAATTTGTGATGTTAAGCATCGCAAGCAGAGTGATGCCAGTTCAGTGGAGGTCACGGTCAGAAGATTTTTCAGGCCAGAGGACATATCATCTGAGAAGGCCTACTCATCGGATATACGGGAGGTAATAGCTAGCATTTCACATTAGAAGATTCTATAGTACATTGTCTTTAATCAATGTCGATTACTATAAAATTATCTTGAACTTTTGTTTGTAATTTTGAGGCGGCCAACAATGTAGAGTTTTGATCTATACTTAGGATTACTGCTTATCCAGATTCTCTTCATTTTTCCAGGTCTATTATAGTGAGGAGATGCATACGATACCAGTTGAAGTGATTGAAGGAAAATGCGAGATCAGAAAAAAGAAGGATCTCGGACCTCAAGATGTCACTTTTACATATGACCATGCTTTCTTTTGTGAATATATGTACGATCCTTCTAGAGGATCTCTTAAGAAGGTAATGTTTTTGTTGTATGCTATAAGTTGACTATTTTTCTTTACTTGATTTCAAACCATTTATTGTCTAATCAATATCCAATTCCTGTGCATGTAGTTGCCATCAAATATCAAGATTAAGTATTCAACAGAGCAGTTGAATGATGATACTAAATCTAGGAAGAGTAAGGGGAAATGCAAAGAAGGCGAGGTCGATTCAGAAGTTGTAAAGCTCAAAGAAGAATCTCAGGGACACCGCTTGGCTACATTAGATATTTTTGCTGGCTGTGGTGGCTTATCTGAGGGACTAGAGCATTCTGGTAACTTTAACTTGCCTGCATACACACACATTATATATATATACGCTATGATGGAGAGGTTTATAATTTATGTACCTGTGACATTGTTACTTATGTATTTATTTATTCAGGTGCTTCTCTAACAAAATGGGCTATCGAGTATGAAGAGGCTGCTGGAGATGCATTCAGACTCAATCATCCTGGATCTTTGGTATTTGTAAACAATTGCAATGTCATCCTGAGGTATATTTCTTATAATAGGGTTTGAATTTAGTACTGCCATGAGCAATTGCAAATTAACATAAGATATCCTAGGTATAACAATCAAGAAAACCATAAAAATTTGCAGGGCGGTTATGCAAAAGTGTGGAGATGCAGATGACTGCATCTCAACCCCTGAGGCTGCTGAGCTGGCAGAAAAGCTCGATCAAGTTGAACTCGATAACCTTCCAGTTCCAGGACAAGTTGATTTTATTAATGGAGGGCCTCCTTGCCAGGTTTAATTAGACCACATGGCCTTTTGAAATTCCAAATCATTATTAAACTGTATTGCTGAAAGTGGTCAGAAAATCTCTTGTAGGGGTTTTCTGGAATGAATAGGTTCAACCAGAGTACATGGAGTAAAGTCCAATGTGAGATGATTTTGGCATTTCTATCCTTTGCTGATTACTACCGCCCGAAATATTTTCTTCTTGAGAATGTCCGCAACTTTGTGTCATTCAACCAAGGCCAGACTTTTCGCCTAACTTTAGCTTCGCTTCTTGAGATGGGATATCAGGTACATGATATTGCATGCATTATGAGGGCTACGTCATGCATATACATTTCCTGATTCTTTTAACTTTGGAGGTGTTAACTAGAAAAAGCTACCCCTTTAAACCTAGCTAGAAAACTTACTTTTAAGATTACATGTAACCAGGGGTGGTATTTTTAAGGTAAATAGAAACTTCAAGGGTTAGTCCTGGTTTTCAAATATAATTTTTTTTTTTTCAGTTTGAGTAAACCTTAGCTGTAATTTTATAATTGTCCTATGTTTTTAATTTTTTCCTTGACGTAATTGTTCGATTTCATGAATATAGGTGAGATTTGGTATCCTTGAAGCTGGTGCATATGGGGTTCCACAGTCTCGAAAGAGAGCATTTATATGGGCGGCTTCTCCTGAACAGCTGCTTCCAGAGTGGCCTGAGCCGATGTATGTCTTTGCTGCACCTGAGTTGAAAATCTCAATGTCAAAGAATCTTCACTATTCGGCTGCTAAGAGTACTACAAAAGGAGCTCCATTTCGCTCTCTTACTGTCAGAGATACAATTGGGGATCTTCCTCCTGTGGGCAATGGTGCATCAAACACAAGTTTACAGGTACAATTGAGTACCCAAAAGAAGAAATAATTAAATACTATCACCTAAATAAAAAAAACCCTTACAAATATTACCCATGTGAATTAGCTCCATCACAAAACTACTCAGTTCTCTTTAAAATAAGAAACATCCTCTCTGATTATGTCTATATTGTAAATTACGTCTGTTGATGGAGTGTATAGGGGAAACATGCATCATTTGCAGTAGGTGGGGGTGTTTGCAGTTCTGAAAGTTAAACTAAATATAGTGCAAGTAGATTAAAGCTTGAGTGTTGTTTTAGGAATCATCCCAAATTAAAAACTGGACCAAGTTTTGCTTACTACAACTGATTGACTGATGCTGGGTTACCGTGATATCTTTCTTTATCTACTTTAGCTCATATTTTCATTCATGCTTTTAATGTTTGAGAATGCAGTATCAAGGTGAGCCTATATCATGGTACCAGAAGCAAATCCGGGGTACCATGGCCACATTAATTGACCACATCTCAAAGGAAATGATTGAGCTTAACCTAATCAGGTGTCAGAAAATCCCCAAGCGTCCTGGTGCTGACTGGCGTGATCTTCCAGATGAAAAGGTGTTTGACATAACCCAAACAAGGGTAGTCTGTGTTGAGCATTTGCATCTTTTAGCTGAATTTTCCTTGTATCAATTTACAGGTGAAATTATCAACTGGCCAAGTAGCTGATTTGATACCATGGTGCTTGCCTAATACTGCCAAGAGGCACAATCAATGGAAAGGACTGTTTGGAAGGTTGGATTGGGAGGGTAATTTCCCGACTTCTATAACTGACCCACAACCGATGGGCAAAGTTGGAATGTGCTTTCATCCTGAACAAGACAGGATTGTTACTGTTCGTGAGTGTGCACGCTCTCAGGTAAGTTAGCTTCCTTGCTTTTTTGGTTTGCAAAAAATTGTTCATACAAAGCCCATGCCAAATTTCGTAAAGAAAAAGTCTACAGTTTGTGATGCATCTCCATCAGGGGTGTTCACGGTCCGGATTGGTCCGGTTTTAGTCCAAACCATGACCAAACCGGACCTAATGGTTAATTTTTTTTCTTGTCCATAACCGGACCGGTTTTATTTTTTAACCGACCACAATCCGGACCGCATTGGACGGTCCGGTTTGGCGGTTAACCGGTTAAATCCAAAATCCTTGTTTTGGGCCTTTAATTTTTATTTTTTTCATTTTGGGTTTAGTTTTTATTTTTCAATTTTGGGTCCAAAAGAGATTATTTGGGCCTAAAAATTAAGAAAAACAACAATAATGAAATAAAAAAATATACAATTCGTCCCATAAGCATAAAAATACACATTTCGTCCCACAAACATAAAAATACAAAAATGATGAAGATTAAATTATTCAAATTGAACCCAAGCAAGCATTCATATTTCAGTCAATTTATACACCTGAAATAATAAGAGCAAAGCATTCATAGTTAATGTATTGTATTTGTCGGCCATAGTGAATGACTTAATGTATATATATATATATATATATTTGTTATAGTTTTTTAATATTTACCGGTCCGGTCCGGTTAAACCGGCGGTTTGCCGAAGGTAATCCGTTAACCGGACCGGTTATTCCGGATTTTTAGAAAAATTAACCACCGAATTTTTTAAGGCTTTTTTAATTGACCATTTAACCGATCCGCGGTCCGGATTGACAGTTTTTTACGGTTAAAACCGGACCGTGAACACCCCTAATCTCCATGGTCAAGCTACTGCAAATTTATTAACCGATTGACTGATACTTGGATGTTTAAACCGTAGAACATGAATACGGCGATTTCAATATTATTCTAAGCAATTGTAATTACAAGTTGCACGTCAGGATCTGGTGGGTTATTTCCATATTAAATGCGATACACAAACACAATAACGTTTCTGATTTGCTCAGAATTGGAAATGAGGCATAGACATCTAAAAATTTGGAAGTGACTCTAATTGGTCTATGTTTATTGTTTTTTGGTCAGTGTTTATGAAACTTATTGATCTCCAAAAATGGAAGTGAAGATATATTTATGCAACTTGGGTTTGTCATGGAAAATATATATGAATCTTTGGAACTTATACGATTTGATTTTGAAACTTTTCTCTGAACTTATTCTAATTGCAACTCGTTTATTGACAGGGTTTCCCTGATAGCTATAAATTTTCTGGTAACGTTCTTCACAAGCACAGACAAATTGGAAATGCTGTTCCTCCTCCACTGGCTTATGCACTGGGAAGAAAACTGAAGGAGGCAGTTGAGGGCAAAAGCAATTGCTAGCTAGAAATTGCTTGTGCTTTCCAACTCTGACCTTAAGAATCACAGTTTTTCAAAACTATGGACTCATCTGTTTCCCGGGGTTGAAAAATTTTATGCGTGAGCGTGATGCATGTTTTAGAAATCTGAATGGCAACGAGCTATATAGATCCTGATCAATTGAACTTTTCTGTTAACATATTAGCAAGCTTTGGCTGCTCGTATTGTTATTTGGGCAAATGTATGTAGCTTTGAGAACACAAAAGGTTATTTTACCTAGAGTCTGAGGGAAAAAGTTGAGTATTTAACTGTTTATTATTGTAACTGTGGAAAGTTTGCGGCAAGCAAGCCATTAGAGAAAATGGATTCATATTATGTATTTTCTTCTTTAGAAGTGATTCCCCTCTTTCATATATATATTTTTAATTTTTTTAGTTCGATAATTTTCTAGAAAAAGCATTTCAATTTCATGTTCAAGAGTTCGGAGTAATAATCTCGAGATTTCTTGGACAGAAGCAATTCATAAAATTATTTCAATTACTCAGCTGCTAATACCGCATGGTTGCCTTCAGCAGAACTGATTCTTGATTTCCTTTTCATTGCTTCTGAAAATTTATTGGAAGTCTTTCTCATACAACGTTGTCCAAAATCTGCAATTGCTTGTGTGAAATTTTCTAGAATTCTGTTACGTGTATTTTTTTTTTTAATCACCAATCTCAATTTTCTTCAACAAATACTATATCAACTATTACCAAAAAAAAATAAAAAATAATAATAATAATATTACCATTACAATTATTGTACACAACATACTATTTTACAGAAGATAAATCGAATACTTCACTTAAACAAAACAGTACAACAACAAATGTACAAATTTGTCTCCCTTCTTACATGAGATCTTTCACTCAGCCTCCTATAGTCATAATTCATAACATTCTCACTTGTAGCCATGATCACTGGTGACAAAACAAAGTACCACAGTTTCAAAAAACACGTATTACATCAAGCGTCGTTGAAGATTTCATGAAAATGCATAGCATCCCGATTCCAAACATATACGTTTGACTTCCAAACCTTTTTTTGGTCAAACTTTACCATCTAAAATCCATAAATTCTGCTACAGCTGGAATATCCCTTGAAGACTTCACGAAGAAAACACATGCTTAATGTGACTAAGTGCTGTTTTCAGAAAGAAATCTAAATAGAAGCATCCTTTCCAGAAACAGAAGCAGCCTTACTTGGTTTCTAAATTGAAGGAGAAAACACCTCATTATGGGAAGATAGACTTTCATAAGTATATGGATGGCCATGCTCCTTCATTTTCCCTTCATAACTACTCGAAGTCGAGGCAGATTCATTATGTGGATTCAAGCCAGACAATTCCATGATATTTTCAATCTCTTTAACAACTTCATTCATTGTGGGTCGACTCACTCCCAACTCTTGAACACACCTCAGTGCAAGATCCACAAATTTCTCGACACTACCCGGTGCCATATTGGAAGCAACTATTGGGTCGAGAACAGGTTCAAGGTTATACAAATTCTTGGTTTTGTCCATTAATTCCTTCACTTCCCGAACAATGTATTTCCCGTTCACTATTGGAGATCTTGAAGTTAAAAGCTCGAATAGCAATACCCCAAAGCTGTACACGTCGCTCTTTTCTGTGAGTTCTTGTGTCATGTAATATTCAGGATCCAAATATCCCTGGATTGAGGGAAAAAGGAAATGAAAAGGAGAAGTGGGAATAAATCAATCGTAAATTACTTTGGTTTTAAGACATCAAAGAGCAAAATGGTGGATGAAACATAAAAGTTCCTTATAACTATTTTGAAATCCTAGTGCATAGAGATGCGTATTTTTTTTTTTCTGCGCATGCTACACTGCCCAAAATTTCTACATACAAAAGGAAAGAGAAGATTCTCTATACTGGTAATTAGACTTGTAATCCCGCAATTTATAGTTCGACTTTCGCCAAGCAAGCAGAATTTAACAGAAACCCTATTCAAGTTGTCCAATGTTTTTACAGTAAAAAGTCAAGGACATATCAGCTATAATTTATAAATTACGCAAGGCGTATTTACTTCCCGACATCAATCCAAAATCTACTCACCATTGTGCCTTTGACTTGAGTGGTAATATGACCTTTTTCCGGTTCACCCATAGGCTTTGAGAGTCCAAAATCTGCAACTTTCGCATTCAGTCGATCGTCCAGCAAGATGTTGTTTGATTTGATATCCCTATGTATGATTGGGGGGTTTGCTAACTCATGTAGATATTGAATACCCCTGGCTGCTCCAATTGCTATTCGAAGTCTTCTAGTCCAATCCAATCTGATACCAGTTTTCCCTACCAAAATAATACACAAGCTTTAAACTTACGTTCAAATCACCAAAATTATTAATAATAATTAATGTTTAGATCCTAAACATTATAGGCAACAAACAAAAGCTACAATCGGGATTTAGCCTAGGTGTTCTTCTATTTATCTATTTCATTCTGCTCTCTGAGATATCTCGGATTATATCATGAGTCATGACCAATGTTCTAAAATATGCTACGCACTTGCTAGGCGGCAGGCTAGAGCCTCTAACCTTGGGCGACTAGAAGGGGATTAGAAGGAGCTTAGGCGGGGTTGCAAAATATTATAAATGTTTTATAATTATTATCATGCATATATGCATGCATACTCAAAATATATAATCGCCTTGTCTTGCACTTAACGAATAACAGATGGCTATTTTCGACAAGCTGATTAAATTAGCTGATGTGTAGTGATATGCAAAAGAGTTTGGTAAATAAGTAGCTATTTGATATGAAAAAACAACTAAAAATTCCACTCTTCTATTCCAAAAAGCTCTGAGCACTTTTGAAGTTAGCGTTTTGCGTACCGAAGGCTATTACAAACCGCAATATACCAAACAGTAAAATTAGAGGTTTTGACGGGTCAAATCTCTAATTCACTCTCAAGCCTCTAGTTTGGCCCCAAAATGTTAATCACCAAACAAGGTCATTGTATAAAATTTACTAATAGAAATGGTTTAAATACAAAAACAAAAGTTCAAAAATATAACATGTTTATAACTATTGTATTAATTTTAACATACTTGTAATTTTTTTAATTCTATAATTTTTTATATTCCATTTATAAAAATACGAACCTGTTTTTATTATAATTTGAAAAAAGAAATAAAAAAAACAACTAAATATAAATATGGATGCTTGGACACCGCCTAGATCGCCCAAGGCTTACTTCGCAGCCGTTTGGAGCACCCATGCAGTGCTAGACGGTACCTAATTTCCTGAGCGTCCAGAAGATGAAAATCGAGGCGCCTGGGTGCCGCCTAGGCGGGTGCCTACCCAACTTTTAGAACACAGATCATGATCTTTTGACATACATCAGTTTTTTAAATGTACAGACAGCAGAGATTAAATTAATAGTTAGGGGTAAAGTTAAAATAGATAAAAAAGAAGAAAGAAAGAAAAAAATGATTAGTCAAGCAAAGTACAAAAAAACCCCATGGTTTAATGATTTAGTGCAACTTACTCCTTATAGTATTACAAACTCCCACAGGAGAGTTTTATTTACTCTGGAACATACCTCAATCTTGAGGCTGCAGTTCTCAAAAAAGATAAAATAACATTTGAAAAATATATTAAAGGGATATTTATTGTAATTATCTCACAATCAGCTTTTTGCTCTGTTCATTTCATTATCAGGTAAAATTTGCATCATCGAAAGGTGACTTTCATGTCGTAAAATATCAGAATTCTGACATAAACGAAATAAATTTGTAACAAGCATAATCGTGTTTACATTGAAATATGTAAAAGGAGATATTTGTACCAGTAAGGCTGTCTTTCAGTGAACCATTTGTGATATACTCATAGACCAACATAAATTCACCGTGATCGAAGCAGAAACCAACTAGACAGACAACGTTTTTGTGATGAACCCTCGAGAGAAGCTCAATCTCATTTTTGAACTCCACACCGCCCTGGGTAGATCCTGGCTTTGTTCTTTTAATGGCTACCAGTTGTCCATTGGGAAGAGTTCCTCTGTATACCTGAGAGATGCAACAAATGTTGACAAACATGCAAACAAAACATAACAGCAGTCAAATTGAGTCAAATACTTGTGAGCAAGCACTGAAATCATTTGACAGATGAATTTCATCTGAGTAAATTTTCATTTAATGTTATAATGAGTAAAGATAATAAGATGGTTTAGGAGTGAAGTATCCAGGAAGGGTAAGAACAAGTTTCTTCAATTCGCATACGGTAGACTAATGAAAGAAACTTGAAAAAAAATTATATTTTTCATGTTTACAGAATCAACAAGTGGCTAACACTTTGAGTTGTAGTATTAGTTGGCCACCAAGTCTCCGTATGCAACTTTAGTATTTAGAAGCATCCAACTTTTCAATGACAAATGAAGCTCGATTTTATGCATATTACGAGAACTCATAATTCCTTAAATTGTAGGAAAATTTTAAGGTCCCTTTAGTATTTTTGTGAATTATCACTCCATCAACTTTTGCCCAATGAAATTTTGCCACTTCATCTTAGGTGCAATCATGACAACAAACGCAAGAACTCCATAAAGCAAGATTCTAATCATGCATTCACAAGTATGTATTTTGCTTCCCTAACACTATGCCAAGTATTTGTGTGATCAAATTCTGAAAATTATAACTATAGCCATGGAAATATTAAAATATAATTTTACTTTCTAGTTTTCTCCTAGAGATACAGCAAGGATAAAATTATTCAAAAGAATGTATCAACTGGACAACCACGATCCAGAATTGAGAAAGAAATGAAAAGAAAAAACAGTAAACTGTGAATTCTTTTTATGAGGCAAATGACAAAAGAACAAACCTTGCCATAACCACCCGATCCAATTTCATTATTATCAGAGAAGTTATCAGTGCATTTCTTAATTTCTTCAAATGAAAAACTCCTTGCTCCTCTTAACTGCGGTACTGCACCACTGTTTGAGTTTGAGTGCCAGGATGCTGCAAGAATGATAAAGGTCAAAATGGAGGCAGAATAATTGGACTCGACCCAAGATTATTATAACTTAAAGTGATAAAAGTCATACCAAACGGATCACTCTTTTTAGCAGCAGTTTCGGCTCTCCTCTTTTGACGAAAAGCATAAACTCCAGCAATAAGTAACAATAAAAGAAGAATAGATGCACCAACGGCTGCTCCAATGATCACGTGTATGTTTGAAGGCCTATTTGATCCTTCATTCGGGCCTGGAATTTGAGAAATTTGTTGCGAGCGTAAGACATAGTGAATTTCTTTCTCAGTTTGTACTGCAATTTTAATCCTGCTTAGCAATATTATATTTTTTTTGTAATTTCACATTGCACAATCACACAGTAACATCAAAATACTTTGGTTTTAATCCTCATTTCACTGAAAATTAAAAACTTGTACCAGAAAAGCTAACGTCTGCACGTCTATGATATAGACGAAATTAATAAGATTTGCGAATGTCCAAGATTTTTCAATTTTACTAAAAAACAGAATTACTCCATAATAAACTCTACTTGCATCACATACTTGTGTTATGTCTTACAAACAGCAACATTCTGTCAATTTTTCTTCTTCGTTTCCCCCCCAAATTAAACTATTTGCATTATAGATAAAAATTACCTGCAAAGTAGGGATAAGTATCAGCGTTGAAATAGAAGGGCCCGAAGCCAGGCGGCGGCTTGAACGTCTGGTTGCTCATGATAAACCCAATTCTAGAAACCCCCGTCCTATTGAAATGATCCTGCCCCGCCGGAAAAATCTGCAGGGTCAGCTGAAGGTAGTTTTCCATATTTCTGGTGGGGTTGCTGAGGGAGACCGAGTCCACCGGCTGGCGATGGGTCTGGAACGTCGACATAAGCTTCTGGCGCAGGGATTCGAAGATGGTGGCGTTGCCGTAGCTGGAGAAGGACGGAGCTCGGAAGAAGAGGGCGCCGGAGTAGGGGTACGCGCACCGGCACGTGGGGCTTTGGATCCGATCGGAATTGCAGGAAGTGGGCGTGCAATTTTCAGGTGGGGTTTGGTATGTTGTGGTGTTGTTGGTTTGTGGAGGGATTCTGCAGTAGCTTTGCGTCGCTCCTTCATCGCATATAGGGTTTCCGACCAGTCTGCAGCAAAATCCGGTCAGTCAATAAAAAGCCGGCGAACCTAACTGGAGTAGGTGCTTGGTTCGGTTCTACTCTGCTATTCAATAAAAGAGAAAAATTTTACATTTTGTAAATTGTAATTACTCTAATTCTTTGTGAAAATTCTACTCTGGCATTCATTTTCTTTTTTCTTTTTTATATTGTTTGTGAAAATTCAATGGCTAGATCTTCATCTTCAATGAAGGATCGACCATCTACCAAAAATTAATGCTAAATGTGATCATTAGGCAAAAACTTGAAGGTACAAAAATTGATTAAATTAAAAAATTCCATGTATCATCAAAGGTAAAATGTAGGTAAGCTTGAACTACCAAAGTTGATTTTTCTACAATTTTTAAATGGAAATTAAAAACAAAGAAGCACTATGGCTGCATTGCATTTAGATTCTGATTTCTGCAAAAATATATTTTATGAATGACTGCAGACCACTTCCACTTCCTTTTTCAATTGCAACAATGACAAGAAGAATTGAGAAGATTCTCACCTTAAACTTCAAAGCTTTCCTAATAGCCTATAATTAGTGAAGAACAACAAACTTACACAATTTGAACACTGGCATTGTAACCCGCCCGTTCAGTATACCCATCGATAAAGTTGTTCTGCAGATCAATACGTTGTAGTTGGCTGCTAGGACTTGGGCCAATATTCAACGTCCCATTAATTCGGTTGTTCTTCAATTCACTAAACCGATAAAGAAAAAAGAAGCACAAGTTTTCAATAAAAGTGAAAGCACACACAAAAGCTAGTATTTATGAATAAATGAGTGCACAAATAGCCCACACTTACACAGTCTGCAGTTGAGGAAGGCTGAACAAAGAAACTGGAAGTTGTCCATGAATGCCTGTATTGTCCATTATCCTGCACAAGATTACATATTTTCAAAAAGGGGTCATGTATTTATTTATTTAGGTCCCTTCAAGGTTCAAAATTACGAAACTTGGATCCTTTACGTTTAAAATTTGGTCATATTAAGGCCATTTTTCAATACTTCACTTATTCCAAGAGAAAAAAAAAAGTTATTTTTCGACCAATGGAAACATAAATACATAGAAACATACAATGTAGTCAAGGATGTCGAAGATGAGAGCCATGAAGGAACATCTGTCGCATCAAACGAATTATTGCTCAAGTCCCTGCACAAATATGCATCATCTGAAATTTTTATAAACTATTTATTTGACAAATTTGTTCATGCATATGATTTTGGACGATCGAGTAAATTCCTTCTGTTTGTTTGTTCAACTTACACAGAATGGAGCAGATTCATGCCTGTTAGATTGGGAAAAGGTCCTGTCAACCTATTGTTTGCCAAGGACCTGGGAAATATCCACCAGATGTGTATATTTTTACTCAAAACGAATTTCGACCTTAATGTTATATATTTATTATGAAAAAAAAAAAGTGTAGAGAAATTAGGATTCAAATTAGCTGAAGTATATTCTTACAGCTCCTGGACAGTGGTGAGGCTGTTGAGGTTATTCGGAACCGATCCACTTAAAGAGTTTCTGTCGAGCCGTCTGTTTCAAATAAAATTTACAATTTGTAATTCAAATAAATTATAGTTTTCTTTTATGGTTGATTGATCACTTAATAGGTATATAGTTGTTACTTACATAACCTCGAGAGACTGCACAAGTGCTAAAGACGAGGGAATTCGACCTGTTAGCTGATTGCCTTCGAGAAGCCTGCAGCTCGAATAGAAATTTAGTAGATATTAAATAATGTTGCAAAACTGTTGTTGGAAGTATACATATTCAGAGCATAATGATGCTGAATAGCGATGATAGTTTTTGTAACCAAATTAAAATAGTTAAAAGTAAAGAAAAAGGTACAGATGTATGAGAGTCATGTTTGAGTTGAACAGCTGAGATGGTATTTCACCCGACAGCCGATTGTTTCCGAAATGGCTGCACGATTTAGAAAAAACGATATGATTAAAATCTGTAACACATGAAAATGCAACAAAAAAAAAAATAAATAAATAAAATCAATTAAGTGCAAAAGGTCGAATACGAATAGACATATTTATACAAGTGGTTTGTTTTGAACAGCATGTCGAGCCCAGGAGTAGTTCTTGTTGAGACTGGGATAGTTCCACTTAGCCTATTATCTGCTAAGTCCAGCCAATAAAGGTTCGGTAAATTACCAATTGTAGCCGGTATTTCACCCACAAAGTTGTTTAAATTCAGAGACCTTCATAATAAACAAGGAGAAAGAACAATTTTATAGGTGAAGGAATTAAGGTAGAAAAAAGTAAAAATAATGATAAAAAAGAAAAAAAAAAAAAGAGAAGAGATCTTACAAGTACACCAACTCTTGCATAGACCCTATTGAGGGTGGTATTGGACCAGAAAATCCACAACCAACAAGTATCCTGCAAATGCATATAGCAACAATTTTTGGTAATAAAATGAAAAGAAAATAAAATATTTCATAAGATGCTTGATCATTACTTAAGCTTAGTAAAATTTTCTTACAAGCTCGTTAACTTCTTCAAATTCCCGATGGCAGAAGGAAGGGCTCCGGTCAGACCTCTGTTATATGATAGATCACTGTGCAAAGTGTAAAGCAAAATGATGTAAAACTCCAACAATCGAATGTTTATAGGAAATATAAAAACGTTAAAAAAATTTACAGAATCTGCAGCTCGGATAATCCTTTGATGTCGGACGATAGCTGACCGCTTATATTGAAGCTGACTAACGTGCTGACACAAGATACATATATACCGGATTAGACACATAAACTAGTTAATTTCAATTTTTTTATTTTTTTCATTTTTATGTTAAACAATTAAAAATAGCAAATACTTACATCGTAACAACTCGATTATTAGCATCACAGTTGATTCCATCCCAACCATTTCCACTTCCACAGGGATCAGCACCATCCCAATTAGGAGGTACATTTTCCCATACATCTTTTAGGGACTTTAGAGCAACAACTGCAGATGAAATAATGATTTCTTCTAGAGTTAAGGCCATACTAGCCCTTAGACTGTACATAAAATCCGAAAAATGAAAGTTTTGCCTAACTCAAGATCCTAAAGGAATATCAAAGATTTATCAGAAGTTGAGGCTTATAAGAAATTGCCTGATCCAACAACCAAAAAAATTAAACAATTAAGTAAAAACAAACTTGAAATTCAAGGCCGCGAGTCGAAATCAAACGAGAT